CCAGCCCTGGTCCCCCCATGGGCTGCTCCTGAACAATAACAGCAAGCCGCGGGGCTGGGCCGGGGGCTTCTCCGAGTTGAGCGTGCCCCCCACAGTGGATGGGGTGCAGACGGCGCGCCCGGGGGCGGCCCTGCCCCTGAGCACTTCCAGCAGCAGCTGCGTGATGGAGCAGGACGAAGTGCTGGCCTGCCCTGCCTGCTGCCTGGGCCCGTTCAGGTTCAGCTTCTCCTCTGTCTGCCACCGGCCGGCCGCCAGCACCCCCCGCTACCAGAACCTGAACTGCGAGGCCAGGAGCCTGCAGTGCCCAGAGAGGCACCCGCAGCACTGCAAGGCCCTGGCGCCAGGCTTGCCAGAGCCCAGCCTCAAGTTGCCGGAAGCGCAGTCCTGAGTCTGGCCTGCGGCCGAGGAGCGCCTTGGATCCGCCTGGGACTCTCAGCTGCCCTTCGGACCTCGGGGAGCTGGCGCGGGCCGAGGCGGTTGGCGCTCCGCTGCCGGGGCCGGCAGGACGAGGCTGCACCCGGGTGCCAACCCTGTTTGGCTGCCGCTGTGGGAAAGCGGGAGGCAGCCCTCATCCCCCGCCTGGTTTCGGTGCAATAACGGGTGGCTTTCTGCTCTCCCCAGGCTGGCCCCGTGGCAGGCTCGAAGCAGACTCAGCCCCAGCTCCTTGGGGCTTGCCTCCTGGGCCGGTTTGGCCCAGCACTTAGGTCTAACCTCTGCGCAGGTGGGTGGTACCCCTCCAGCATGGGAGGGGGCAGAGGGGCAGAGCGGTGGGGTGTACGCAGGGCATGGGGCTCCGAAGCAGGGCCGGGATGGAAGTGACTGGCTTGTGTCACGATTGTGAGGCTGGGAAGCGAAGGCACGCGCTCCTTCTGCCACCTGGGAGGGACGGGCATGCCCTTGGTACGGTGCTGTGGGGTATGTTGGACGGATGGGTGGGGAGGTAGCCAGCCTGTATTCCTACCCCGTCTGCTCCCCTCCTGCCCTGTGCAATAACGGTTCAGTGTGGGTGTGCTGCTCTTCCGGGCCCTTCTCTCCTCAGTGCACTAATGGAGGAGAAAACGCCGCCGCATTTTTAATAACGGAAAATACTTGTTAATATATTCAGCTTATTTAATGTGTTGAAAAAATAAAACCTGATGTCAGTCCCACTGTTCTAGCCTAGAGTGGTCTTTGCTGAGAAGTCAGAAGATGAGAAACAGGGAATCCCATCTTGGACTGGCAAATTGGGGTGGGGCGGGGCGGGGGGGCAGTTCTCTCTCTCGGATTGTGGCACTGTCCCCAAACCCCATAAAGGGTTGTTGCATCTGCTTGGATTCTGTGCATTTCTGGGGTGGGAAATGGTTCCAGAAAACCAAAATGGAAGGGGACAGCAACTTGGAAAAGTCAGCTACAAAGAAGAAGAAAAAAATATCTTCTGAAAATTGGTCTTATTCTGTGTGATACGTGACTTGTAGATTAGGGGCCGCGTACATGTAAAGAAGAACAAAGAATAAAAGGGAATTATATTGTGAAATATTTTTCTTCAAAAAATCTGTGGAATAGGATAAGTATATATATGCTCTGAACAGTTTAATAGACGTACAGATTAATTTCTAGTGATATTTCAGAATGCACTAATGGAAATTAAAAGCCACAGAAAACTTACTGTACTCTAGGGAAAAGTCGGAATACATCCACTGGTCTTCGCTTTATCCTTTCAAATAACAGAACAAGGGGAGTGTTTTTCTTGCCTCCGTTTGGGATGCAAAATCAAACATGTATAGCTTTCAGCGTGAAGTTCCCCGCTGCTGCGAATGCCGTAGCAGCTGTGTGAGGGAAGGCTTCCAGGGGCCAAAAGACGTTCAGCCTGCCTTAATGCCAACGCCTCCAGCCGCAGGCAAGGAGGGAACCTTTGCAGAGCACGTGGCTGATGGGTGAGCTCTTTGGAAAGATGAGCCACCCTGACTGGGGGGTCCCTTCAACAGAAGCGGCACGGACCCACGGAGCATTTGCAGAAGGGCGGGTGTCCACCACTGGGTCCCCGAGGAGCCTGTGTCATGCCACGCCTGGGATGACATCTTTGGTAACGCTCCCAAAACGACTCCTCGTTTCCTCTCTCTAGCCCACCCGGAAGAAAGCGGCCTGTTCGGGGGGTCTGCTGCTCATTGGTGCTGCCAGCTCCCATCTGCTCCTTCCTCTCTGCCTTCACCTGCAGCAGACTCAGCAGCAGACGAAGCCACCTGGACCAACGCCGAGCCCGTTGTGTGCTTGGCAGAGGGGGAGGAGAGTCGTGACTGGAGGGCAGGGTCCCAGTGATGCGCCCTCCACCAAGGCGTTGCTTTGACTCCCACCCGTGCAGGGAGCCGAGGCGTCTGAGAGGTCACGACTTGTTCAATAGCATACAAGAAAAAGGAGGACGTCTGTCTGGCGCAGGTGGCTGTATAGAGAGTGTGCATGTAACATAAACTCAGCTGAAGGCAACAGGGACGGGTGAATGTGTGGTGAAACAAGAAGAGACAAGGTCAAGAATAAATGGGTGCTAAAGAAAGGAACCCGCTAACACATAAGAAAGCGGGTGACCCAGAACAAAGACAATTTGAGATGGTTTGGTCAGAAAGGGACAGTGAACAAGAATTTAAACTGCAAAACAAATCTGTGACGGAAAGATGAATGAACCAGAGGGGTCCTGCAGGAATCTCTGTTGTTCAACATTTTTATTAAGGACCTGGATAATGGAATTTATGGGCTGCATTTCAAATTTGCAGATGATCCAAAAGAGGGAGTTCTGGCCAACCCCAGGAAGACAGATTAAGCCTGCAATCTAATCTGGGCTTGTTAGCAGGCTGGCTGCAAGGAACAAGATGTCCTTTGACAGGGAAAAAAATTAAGGAGAAAATAGGGCACATGTACAAAGGTTTGGGGGGGGGCAGTCATGGCTTGAAAAGATTACACCCGAGAAGCACTTGGGAGTGGTCACTGACAACAAACGGAATGTGAAGCAGCTGTTAGAAGGGCTAGCACGGTTTTGAGCTGCATTAAGAAACATGTAAGAGACACATGAAGTCCTAGTCTTCTCTTGCTGCTCTGGCGAGACCACATCTGGAGGACTCTGTGTGATTCTGGGCATCACATTTTCAGAGGGACTTTGACAGGTTCAGAGGAAGGTGGCAAAGATGTGACAAGAACCTGCGGTCATGCCCGGAGAGGACAAGCTGAAGGAACCTGGGACGCTCAGTCTGGAGAAAAGAAGACTGACAGGAGACGTGTTCAGGAACATAAAAAGCCAATATGGGGAAGGTGATCTGGAACTATTTTCTGTTGCCAGAGAAAATGGAATCAGAAGTAACTGGTATAAGGTCCGTGCACCGGTAGAAGAGTCTCTCTATGGCAGCGGTGGGTTCTCCGTTTCCGGAGGCTTTAAGGAGAGGCCAGGCAGCAGCTCTCAGTGATGGTTTAACTGGTTTTCCTGACAATGCAAAGAGTTGGATGAGATGACCCTTGTGATCCCTTCCAGCTCCACAATTCCGTGACTCTATGGCAAAAGGGAAAAGACTTGAGAAAACCTAAGCTGGAACTGATGAGAACCTGAAAAAGAGGCGGGCGATGTGAGAAGTTTAAAGAACGAGGCAGTGCATGTTTGTGGAAGCCAGACTGGTTTGCAAGGATAGGAAGGTATGGAGCAGGACCATGCACGGTGCTTATGTAAGTCACATTTAGATATTTTTGTTTTCTGTCATCCCCTGCTTTTCTTTTCTTTCCTTTCCTTTCCTTTCCTTTCCTTTCCTTTCCTTTCCTTTCCTTTCCTTTCCTTTCCTTTCCTTTCCTTTCCTTTCCTTTCCTTTCCTTTCCTT